ACAAAGACACAGTGATAAAAACAGCATGGTGCTGACACAAAACATACATGTGGATCAATGGAACATAACAGAGGATATAGAAATAATCCCAGCCATATGCAGCTCTCTGATTTTTGACAAAGAGGTTAAAAACATATATTGGAGGATGGGGCTGGTGAGATGGCTCAGTGGTCTAAAGCACCTACTTAGAACAAGTTTAGCAAAGCACAGGGACCGCAGTTCAAATCCCCAGCACCACATGCCAGCCAGCCCCGCCCCCTGGTGGTCTGAGCTGGCCCCCCCACATAAATAAATAAAAATTAAAAAATAAATAAATAAAATTAAAAAACCCATATATTGGAGGAAAGATAGCTTCTTTAATAAATGGTGCTGAGAAAACTGTCTCTCCATATGCAGAAGATGAAATTTAGACTCATATCTCTTACCATATACTAGATTGAACTAAAAATGGATCAAAAATCTAAATACTAAAAGAGAAACATTCAATCTGCTGGAATATTAAAATAAGTAAACTTCTTATAAGTGTAGGCAGGGACATTCTGAATGGAATTGCAATTGCACAAGGCAATTGAGACAAAAATGAGACAATTGAGACAAAACCTTATTAGACAAAAATGATGGGATCTTATTAAATTACAAAGCATCTGCACAGCAAAGGAAACAGCCAATAGAGTGAAGATACAACCCATAGAATAGGGAAAAATTTTGCCATGTATTTATGTAACGTATAAAAAGAAGTAAAATGTTAGACCCCCCCAATAAAAGATCCAATAAAAAATGGGAAGCTGAAATAAGACATTTCTCAGAAATAGTAGTATAAATGGCCAATAAATACACAAATAAATGTTCAATATCACTGGCCATAGAGAAATGCAAATTAAAACAACACCAAGATTCCATCTTACTCCACAAAGAATGGCTATCATCAAGAGATCAAATAATCATGCATGTTGGTGAGACTGGGTTGGGGAGGAATGCTTCTATATTGTTGGTAGGAGTGTAAGGTAGTACAATCACTAGGAAAATCAGTAGGGAAATTTCTAAAAAAACTAAAACTGGAAATTCCATGTGGCCCAGCTATTCCCTTTCTAGGTATCTTCCTGAAAGAGTTAAAGATATAATATCATAGTTGTATATATGCATACCCATGTTTATAGCAGCACAATTCATAATAGCTAAATCTTACAAGTGGCCATTCTTCCACCAACAGATGAGTAGATAAAGAATACGTGTTTATACACAGTGGAATACTACTGAGCCAGGCCACCTGAGCCATAAAGAAGGATAAACTTGATTTATTAGTAGAAAAATGGATGCATCTCAGGATAAATCCTGAGGGGATTTCACTGACCTTATCAGACCCAAAAGCTACAATTCTTGTTGCATAGGTCCTGCTTTACCTTGGTCTTAACCATCCAGCAAAAAAGTATAAAAACGAAGTATAAGAAGTAGAGCCATGCTGTTAATTGAGCTGTGGGGGACTCAGGTCAACAATTTCTGACATTGCCAGTCAAGTGGAAGACCCAATACTATTATGGACTACTGGACTCTTTTAGAATATGTTACACACCTATAATATTTAAATAATGGAACTTATTTAACAATGAGAATTTCTAGAAGACTACCAAAATCTCCCAGCACTAGTAAGAAAGTTTGTTAAGGTTGTGGTATACAAATAAATAAGCAGTAAATGTATGTTCTAATAAGGAACAAGTGGACATTAAAATTAAATATAATAATACTACTGCTGGATGAGGTGACATATGCCTGGAATCTCAAGCTACTTAGGAGGCTAAGGCCGAAGGATCACAGATTTGAGGACTGCCTGACCTCTCAAAATTAAAAAGGGGTGGGAACATAGTTTCGTGGTGGACCACTTCCTTACCACGAGGCCTGAATTCAATCCCCAGTATCACAAAACAAACAATCCCCAAATACTATTTATAATCATTGAAAGAAAATGAAAAAGTTTATTTTAAATCTATTTACATGATTTGTATGTTGAAAACTATATAATGTTGATGAAAATGAAGAAAATATGAATCCTTGTTTGTAGATAGAAAAATCCAACAGAGTAAAGATGCCAATTCTTCCCAAACTGATGCAAAGGCTTTATGCCATTCCTATCAAAATCTCAGCAAAATCTTTTATATACAGGCAAAATTGCTCTATAATCATTCATATAATGGATCCAACCATGTTAGAAACGTCAAGGAATTAGAACTGCTGAAACAACTTGAAAAAAAAAGACTAAAAATAAGAATCAGGTTTAATCTCCAGTACAAAGCAAAAACAAAAACAATCAAGACTAAAAGAAAGCCTCAGATGTATGTTCAATTTGTGCTAAAACAACGGAGTGGGAAAAAAATACTTGGGAACCACATGTCTATCCTCATAATACCTAGAACAGAAAAGACCTCTTAAAATACCACCATTCTGATTAGAAATAGGTAAAAGACAAGCAGAAAAATATAGAGATAGCATATAGCATGCAAAAAGATGATCAACTTCAGCTAATGCAATCATGGAGGTACAAATGAAACACATCAGTGAGAATGGTTAAAATAGAAAATAGTGACCAAGCCACACGTGGTGACAAAGAGGAAAAGGCTGGAACAAACTGTTGAGGTCACTTGTGGATATGCAGAATGGACAGTCCAGCTGTCATGTGGCTCAATCACTGGATTCCAAGACATTTTGTTCACAGAAAAATCTGTACATGAATGTTCATGTTATTTAAATCAGTAAAAATCCAGAAAGAGCCCATGTGCCTATCAATGGGTGAATAATTAAACAAACATATAACACAGAATACTACTCAGCAGTAGAAACAAAACTACTGATAGACACAGCAGCCTGGATGAATCTCCAGAGAATTATTCTAAGGGAAAAATCCAATCCCGAAGGATTCACACTGTATGATTCCTTTCATATAACATTCTCGGAGTGACAGCATATTCATGTGTTGGGTGTGTTCATGAATCGCCAGCACGAAGGAGGAATGTGTGTTGGGTGTGGGAAGGCGGTGACTGAGTGCACAAAAATGCAACCTGGGGGCCTTATGGAGATGTTTGCATTTCCTGACTCAGATTTTATACAGAAGATCCCCAATTTGGAGGGTTTCTCTGTCAGCTTTTCAACTTAAAAATGGTGCTAATGTGACACATATTCAGGAGAAAACATATTTTGAGTTTTGACCACATCATCAGGGTCCTGTCGGCTACCGATGATGTGGTCCAGTCCTGTCTGGATTCTGGGTCATGGCAGTGACCACAGCTTCCAGGAAGTCCTGCAACCTCTAGAGAAGCCACTGACACTCTCCAGTTGCTGTGCTACAGGGTTGTGAGGTTCAGTGTGTAGGTGGGTTAAATGCATTTTTTTTTTTTTTTACTATATTTTCAGCTTTCAAAAGATTCAACAGAACACAACTCCATTGCAAGTAGGGAGATGTCTATACTGTAATTTTACAAGATGTTACCAAAAACACACAGAATCTCTGCATTATTCCTTTACTTGAATGTGAATCTATAATTATCCTCACATAGCACATTTAATTTTTAAAACAAGATAGAAATGCTTATAGAAAAATTGGGGGAATTATGAGTATTAACTAATCAGTTTTTAGTGTGATGGTGGCATTATATTCTTGCTTTAAAAGATATTTGTTACCAAGCAAATACTTACTGCAGCAGGAGCCCAGTACAATAGGGGCCTGGTGTTTGCAATAAGAAAAGCTTTTTTGTGGATTTGCTTTCAAGGAGACAAGAGGCTTGTTCAGGTGTGTCTTCCTGGTTGGTTAAGAGCAAGGAACTGGCCCAGGCTATCGGGAACTAGAGATTGTGAATTCTGATTAGTGACAATGATATTGTGATTTTTAAATTATTTTATTTTATTTTTGCAGAACCGGGGATTGAACTCAGGCCCTTACGCTTGCCAGGGAAGCACTCATTCCACTGAGCCATCTCCCTGGCCCTAGTTTTTTTTTTTTTTAAAGGTTAGTTTTTAAGTTTGTATAGCCTAACACTAAATATTCATAGATGAAACGTAGTCTAGGGTTTGCTTTAGAGTATGAGGAAAATGACTCTTTCATCTGGAGAGAAATTGTAAAACAGGTCCCTTAGAAGCCAGCCCACCCCAGGAACTTCCTGTGTGGACACTTTCCCATTATTGCGCCTCGCCTCGTTGGGTGCCCCGGAGTGCAGGGCTGTGCTCATGTGAGTGTCACTCTGGAGTGAGTGGGTTGCTGCACTGACTCAGCCATGCCCACACCGAAGGACTTCCACTGGAAGTCCCTGGGGGAAAGGCTCTCGCCTCTGGTCCAGAGCTGTATGCACTGCTCTCGGTCACCGGGAGCCCTTGCGGCCTTCATGCCCAGCTCTGCTGTGCTGCTGCTCTGCTTGGGACATGGTTACAGGTATCCTCCAAGGCTCCTGTGCTGTGGGGGGGCCCGGCTGGTGTGGTGATGCTGAAGGTTTGGATGCTTGGAGAGGCGCAGCCTTCAGAAGGTGCTCAGGTCGAGGTGCACCACCATGGGCAGCGGCTGCCGCTGGTCTCGCAAGGAGAATGGTGGTTCCAGGTGGGCGGGGTAAGGCCCTAGTCATGGGCTGACTTCCTGTCTGCTCACATGATCTCTGTGCCTCTCACACTCTGCTTCCGAAGTACCAGCTGCAGTGCTCACCAGAGTAGAGCTGATGTCAGTGCCACTGGGCAACCTCCAGAGCCGTGAGATAAATGAACCTCTGTGCTGCTCAACCTCAGGAGTTTCATTACAGCAATAGGGGGGGACTAAGACAGCTGGTGAAGACTCCCCTCACTTCCTCCTTACCAAAGCTGAACTGGCCCCAGCCCTTCTCCATGCTCATAGAGCCTGGCCAGCTACAACCTCAGTCCTTCCAACTGAGGGAGAATGTGAGATCCCTGCTGAGGTCCAGTGCCTCCGCCAGTGACCCAGCCCTGAAGGAACAGAAACACACAGCACACAGGAAGGTTGAAGCAGCAGGCCCAGCTTTATTGAGGCGATCACATCCATTCTCTGGTGTTCACAGTGACTGGCAAAGCAGCTCCTTTATAAATGCGTCCCACCACGGCTCAGCACTATCCACATTCAGCAGACAGAAAAAACATACTGTACAATGACCACTTCCCATCACAGCAATGTCATGACTATTCACAGTTTGTCAATAGGCAATGCAAAACAGTATTTACAAGATAGATTGTTTGAAAGTTCAAAACCCAGATGCTGTGGTATACTTCTAAAACTAACATCATATATTTTTCCAAGTAAGGAAGGCTGGTCATTATAAAAATACTTTACATAAATCCAAAGTCAGAACTAGAGCATTCAGTCCTATAAAAATATCTTCTACTAATAAAAGTATCAATTTTTAGATAAGTGCTCTTTATCAACAACAGGTTATATAAAATTTTGGGAAATACCCACTAGGGCAGGTAGTCCTTGGAGAATGGACTTGCTAAGTAACTTTAAGATCTAGTCATCAACAAGTGCTTTGTTTTCAGAGATGGATCATGCATTTGACTATGTTGCACGTGAATGGCACATGTATTCTACAGAGAGTGAACTCAACTACCAATTTATTATGAAAGTTTTTTATAAAGACAAACTGTTCAGCCTATAAAAGGAATTCTTAGGTTGGCATTTCCTCCCAGAGAAGACAAATGTTTTTTCAGGATTTAGCCACATTTCACCTTGGAATGCCTAACTTGGAAATCCTGTGATTGCATTTTGGCCACTATCTGAAATCAACTCATTCATTTCATTTTGTTTACTCTCTTTCAGGGCATGGTTGGGGTGATTTCTCTGAGTTTGGGCTCTTTTGGAGCTCCTGAAACATACTTTCAGCAGCAGGTAACACAACTCAGCCACATTGAGCAGCATGCAAATCACAGATGCAGAAATCATAAAAACGGTAAACACAGTTTTCTCAGTAGGCCTGGAAATAAAGCAGTCGACAAGATTGGGGCAGGGGTCAATGCCACATTTCAGCACCCAGGGCAGGTGGTACCCACTGTAGAGGAAGTAAAACACATACATGAAGGCGGCTTCAAAGATGATTCGGAAGAAGATGCTGCTGGTGTACGTCCACCACAGTGCCCCCTCGATGTGCACTTTCTGCTTTTTAATGTCCTCCAGGTCTTTGAACTCGTTCTTCTTCTCTCCACGCCTGAACTTGCGGGTGGTTTCTTGCTGATAGTAGGCCACATGCATGGCCACAAGCAGTGCTGGCGTGGACACAAAGATAAGCTGCAGGGCCCACAGCCGAATGTGGGACACTGGGAAAAAGTGGTCATAGCACACGTTCTTGCAGCCTGGCTGCAGAGTGTTGCAGACGAAGTCCTCCTGCTCATCACCCCACACTTCCTGGGCAGCCACCACGAGGATCATGACCCGGAAGATAAAGATGACGGTGATCCACACCTTCCCGATGCTGGTGGAGTGTTTGTTCACACCCCCGATGACTTTGTACAGGGCCCCCCAGTCCATGGTGCCGGTTTATTCCTAATCAGACAGAAAAGAGTGAGGTTAGGCTGTGGAAAGTGCCTTTGGTTGATAAAACAGCATCGTAGGGATACTGTAAATGCAAGCACATCTGCTTTAAATTAGGCTGTGATATTTTATAGTGTTAACCTCCCAGTCTGCTAGCAGGAGGTCTTCTAATAAGGCTCATTCTGAACATTTTGTTGTTTTTGACCAGAAATAACTGTTTTGGGAGGAAGGTGTAAGATCATCTTGATGCAACAAAATTCAGATTATAGGTTGGATTACTGTATTCCATTAACTGAGGACCATAGGCAAATAAATTTATGTTTTTTAATCACTATGTGAATGTAATATATATATATATATATATATATATATATATATATATATATATAGTCAGTCTGGTTCTACCCAAGGGCTTACAGAACTTAGTAGGCTTTATTCACTAAGTGGTTTATTAAGTCCACAAAATCATTCATTAGAATGACAGAATCTGTTTCCCTAGCACACTAAAAAGATTTCAAGCCATTAGAGATCTGGAAGACAAAGGGCCAGGCTCTCTACCCTCAGTGGAATGGCCCAAACCCAGAGCAACAATTTCTAACAGTGGAAATACCATGTGAACTGAAACTTAACCAAAACCCAAAACCAATCCAAAAAACCTGCACACATATAAATTCAAGGATACTAAAAATAACAAAACTCAGACTGAAGTGTGAAAAAGCAGCGGTTTTCATCCTTGAGTCAAATGGTATAATTTTAACTGAGAACCAATAAAATACAGAAATTCTTATTAGAGTGTGGGGCTCTCATATGCTAGGCAAGGCTCTACCACTCAGCTATACACCCAGCCCTTATATTCTCCAAAATAAACTTTTCTAAAAAAAACTGTTTCTCCAAATACAATACAGGTGTTGAGCTAGAGCCTACATTATTATTTTTTGTTTTTCCTTTTTGAGACAGGGTCTCGATCAGCAGTTTAGGCTGGCCTTGAGCTCACTTTGTAGGCCAGGCTGGTCTCGATCCTCTTGCTTCAGCCTCCCGAGTGCTGGGATTACAGGCATGTGCCATCACGGTTGGCATAGAGCCTACATTATGAGAGGAATACCAGTCTTCATTCCCCCAAAGAACCAAGTTTTAGAACATAGAAAAGTTTGCAGATGGGATCAGCATCCCCCACCCCCATATTCTAGAAGCTTCATTGACTTTCTGTGGTTACTAAAGTATGTGTTTTATGTTTAATTGTGAGTAAAACAGATATAAAATTTACCATCTTAACTACTTTAAATGTCCAGTTAGTTGTGTTAAGTGCATTCACCTTGCTGTGAAACAGATCTCCAGAACCCTTGCATCTTCCCAAATGAAAATTCCACACCCATTGAACAATAATTCTCCACTGTATCCTCTAACCTTTAGGAGCCACTTTTCTACTTAATGTGCCTTTGAATTTGAACACTCTAGGTATGTCACATATAAGTAGAGTCACATATCTTTTTATTATTAGCCTTTGCTATTCATCATAATGTCCTCAAGGTTTATTCACATTCAGAATTTCCTTCCTTTTTAAGGCTATGTAATATTCCACCAAATGGATTTACTGTATTTTGCTTAGCGTTTTCAACCTGTCAGTGGACCTTTGCTTGCGTTATTTCTACCTTTTGGCTATTGCGAATAATGTTGTTATGAACAGAGTTTACAAATATCTATTTGAGATCCCACTTTCATTTCTTTTTGGTATATATCCAGAAATGGGATTTCTAAATCCTATGAGAAATCTATTTTTAATTTTTCAAAGCTTTTTAAAGGCAATCAGTGTACTATGATTCAGAACCACAGAGTTCCTTAATGCCTAGAGAAAGATAAATACCCTGATCACCAAAAGAAAACAAAATCAACATATGCCAGCAGGGGAACTTTCTGTTTAATTCTCAGCAAAGTTCTACAACAGCACCATTACACTTCTCTGTGAGAGTTTCGTAACAGTAACCAGAGCTGCTGGCACTGGGGAGCTAGCTGTAGGGTGTGAACAGGTGGTGGAGCCTGGAATGAGAGCCTCTTACTTCACTGGAGGAGCCACTGGAGGCAAGAGAAACACTCCCACTTAAGGAAGTCTGCATGCTGTGGGATTTGCTTCTTTTTTAAAGCTGAGAAAAGGGACATAGACTTTCTAAAGTTGTGGCCTCTCATCCCTCCAAGTATCTAGTCAGGGGCTGCTGAGCTTTGGTGGGCTGGGTAGAGAGGACTTGCAAGACTCTTCCAGAGTCTTGGGACTCTGGAATTCAGATCTATTTATTAAACCCTTCCTTTCATCTTCTACTTTTTCCATGACTTAAAGAGATGTTCATTGTCCACAGAAAATGCACTGATGACTTAAAACATTTTAAATAATAATCATAAGATTATTTCTGAGTTCTGGTGAAAGACATTACAATACATTGCCCTAATTGTTGCCATTCTATCCTGCCGGTATTTCAAAGTATGGCCAGCAAGGATGCAAAATTTTGCATCTTGACATTTAACCATATTTGACACCAGTAATTCTTTATGGGGCCAGTCCTGTTTAAGAAAGGAAGGTATTCTCTCATTTAACTGTTAAACATCTGATAAACATCTCCCAATGCAGTCTGCCCAAACATGCTTAATCTGCAGGGTTTTGATTTATCACATAAAAGCTCTGCATTCTCCCAAACGCTTCAAAGTCTACAGAATTTAAACTGCCAGGCAGGTAAAAAGGCTGTTTCCTATGTTTTCTGTCATGTTTCCCACCTGAACATGGCACATCTGCCATCACCTGTCATCTACCCCTCCAGGTAATAAGCAAATGGATCAAGGTGTCAAAGACAACAGGACCTGAAAGAATTCTAAAGAATTCTAAAGTCAGAGAAGAGGTCAAGGGCTCACAATTTCCTCAAAAGAATATTGGTTTCAGCTTCCTAAGATGACCAGAAAATAATCTATTTCGCCATGACCATTGATAACTTTACTTATTCCCCTTAAAGGGGAAAAAATGCCTAGAAAAATAAGATGAGAAATGAGATTAAGCTCTGATACAAGTATGTAGTAGCCTGATGTATCCCTTTTTTAGCCCGGTGACCCTCTAGGCAATGAATCAGGCAAAAAAATCAAACCATACGAATCCAAAGAATCTTCTTGCAAGAGCAACAAAGACCTTGCTACTTAGGACAGCAGAAATGACCTGGATGACAGACTATGTATACTCTCCCAGTCACTGACCTGGGCTCTAAGGGCTGCTCCATGGGTGCCAGGGACCCTAATCCATGTTTCCTGACAGAGAGACATCTTTCTGTTTCTTGGCTTAGGGGACATCATTCCAATGAAGCCCTGGTGGTCTTTCCTGCATGTCGTTCTCTGAAGGGACAGCTCACTTCACAACCACTGGGAGACAAGTCAGAGTGCTGAGCCCCATGGAATCTACTAAGCCCCAACCTCCTGACAAGGCTGCTGATACTGGGAAGGCCTGGCTGCCCCCCATCAGGAGGATGTAGGTGACAGTTGGCTGGATTTTTAGCCAGTTTCAGAAGGACACTAGCTTCCCCTTACTCCTGCTGACCAGCAGTGTCATGGGCAGGAACATCTAGCTAGGGTGGGGATAAGCCACAGTAGGCCTTGGGTGCTTTGAGCTTCAGATTTTCTTTATAAAAACACATAATGGGAGGTGGTTGCAGGTGATCTTTCATCACTTTGCTAAAGAAGATTGGAAGGCCCAACACTTGTAGTAAAACTGTCATTCATTTCAAATTATTTTCCAAAGCCACTGCATGCACTTGCACTATTTGAGCTACAGAAAACGAAGTCTCTCATTGCTTTTGGGCTTCTTCAGGGCTGGGGCCAATTGAAGGAGTTTTTTTTTTTTTTTTTAAATAAAACGGAAATGATTAACTCCTTGGTAAACCAGAAAGGTTTACCACTAGTCCCTTCCAAGCCCCTTTGTTAGGAGCAAATAGTCCCTGTAGTAGTCACATTATAAGAAAGTGTTTACATTTAAGCTTAAGAAAGTAAATTGTATTTAGTTTTGTGGCACATCTAATTACAGTGAGTAACTCCATGCCAGATCCTTAATATTGTATTAAAGCCCGGGTCCTATTAATTCTAAAAATAAGTAACAGTGATCTTATTACTTTGGAGTACTTTTTTTTTTTTTTTGTGGTACTGGGAATCAATCCCAGGTCCTTTGTTTTGAGCTACATTCCTTTATTTTATTTATTTTGAGACAGTCTTGGGCAGGCTGGACTCAAACTTTGGATCCTCCTGCCTCAGCCTCCAAGGTTGCTGGTATTACAGGCATACATCACCACATCTGGATCAGAGTGACTTACTTCTTATAGCATTATGAAAATGGATTGTTCTTTCCTTTCATAACTCAAATCACTTAAGTCCACTGGTATTCTAACAATAATGTAATTTTTTGATTGTTTAAAAATGCTGTATTTAAAAATTTAATCACAACTGGTTTAACAATGCCATTTTAATTGCACTGAAGACAGAACCAAACTAAAGACCTAAAAATTATAGCATATACGAAGGAGTGGAAAGGATCTTTCTTTCCCTAGACAGCTGTGATTCCCTTTGAATGACCCTTTCCAAGTCATTCTGCAGGAAGAGAGCTCCCAGCCAACAAGTGTCCATTTGAGGACTCTGCAGATGGAGGGAAGCACAGCACAAGCCCCCGCTATCCCTATAGCCTGTGTCCAGGACGCCCAGCATGGCAGGTCTAGAGGAGGAGAGCAGGTTCCTCCCCAAGCTCTGGACCTCCCACATCTTTGTCTCAGAAGTCAGCTGTAAACCTGTGCTCAGCCTCTGGAAGTCATAGGGATGTCACCCATGGAGCAAAAAACATTGTCACCTTCTTTTAACTTCTCCCACACATGCTCACTAAGTGAGTCCTGTGGTTCACTTACTCCCGTACTGTAACAGGGTAAGTTTGGGTACTGTCATATCTTAATGCTTCATACTTCAAACACATGCAAAAAATCAAAGGTGTGCTTTAGTTTTTTTCCATCCTGCTCCTCCTCCTCATCTTAATACTTATCCTAACCCTCAGGCTCACTCAAGCATTGCAAAAGAGACACAGTACAGTTTAAGAAAATGGATTCACCCTTACCACCAAGTCAGCTGTTAAACAAAACTCTCAAACCCTGAATGAAGAAGAAACAATATCTTTCATTTCCAGAAATCTGAGGTCATCAGAGGGAGGACCTGATAGTTGGTTTTCAAATGCAATAATGCAAAACTTCAGCCACAGTGCTTTCAAAGCAATGACTAAGAGTGACAATGGATATGGGACTCATATGTCTTCAGAATGAACTCAATAAAAATGAGACTTGTCTTTCTTGCATGAGTTTAAATATAAAAGCAGACAATATATAGACATACATATTTCTTACTCCATTTTAGAATTCAAAGAGTTACAAAAATAAGTTCCATTAAGTTCAACTTCTTTGCACCTGGCTAACTCGTTAGCCCTGTCTGTTCATTCAGGCAACCTTCTGTTCTTTCCAAACATTTAAATTCAACTCCACTTCAATAACCCTGGGAAGAAAGAGAAAAACCCAGTTCTACTCTTAAGCATCAAGTTAAAACTGGAATCTTGCCAGTTCCTCTCATAGACCAGGCAGGTCACACTGACAAGGTGACCAAAGGGAAGATTAGTCCTCACCAACCAAAAAATTGAGTCAAATTCTCCTACAATTTTATTCAACATCTCACCTAATGTACACAGACTACTGGTAGCTCCTGGAATACTCTGCTGGAATTCAAAGATGTGTGGTGAGGATACGCAGGCTAGAACTTTCTTTTTAGTCTACTGAACTTGTTTAGCCAGACCTTAGTTGGTCCTTTTCCTTCTTACCTTTCAAAACAGAAGAAAAAAGGTAAGAAAAAAGAGAATCAAGGCACCTTTACCTGTAATAGATTTTTAAACCCCACCAGTAGAAGGGGAGTGACCAGTGTCTTCTAGGTTTTAGTGCCTGCAGGACAGCAGAGGTTGGGGGGAAGCACTTCACACCCCTGCTTATGTGACAGGCTAGGCCTCCTGTTCTCGACTATGGAAGGTTCCAAACAACACCCCCAAAGACTCTGTCTGATCCAACAAGTGACAAAGCTCTCCACAGGCGCTGTTTTGAGCGGCATTCTGCAATTCTAAGGAGTCTGCAGCAGGGCTGGACATTTTCTTCCAGAACACAACTTAGATTTTGCTAAAACTGGGACGAGAAAAGCATCAAACCCAGTTGCAGAAAGGAAGAGGCTCACTGTCGCGCTCAGGCAGACTGACAGCTTCCCTTGTGGGGACCCTGGAGTCGCCCCGGGCGACCCACCAGCCCCTGCGGGGGGCTCACAACCGCACTCACCCTACTCGGTTCGCAGGGCCGAGACCTCACACAGCCCGGGCGACCCCTTGCACGCGGCAAGTGCCCACGGTCCGCGTCTTTAACCACGAGGCACCCTGAGTTCAGCCCCACTGCCCCCGTTGTCCCCGCGTGGCGCGAGCTCCCCGGACGTGGGTTCTGCCGCTCCCCCTGGCAGGGCTGAGCTCAGCTTCACTGCAGCCCCAACCCACGACCTGCGCCGCAGTCCTGGTGGCCGGGTTAGCGCCCAGGCTGCAGAACCTGCAGCGGCCGGGAAGCGGGGCAAAGGCTGCAGGCTCGCGGGCCACTTTCACGGCGCCGCGCCCAGAACCTGTTGCGCGGGTCGGGGCGCCGGTCGTGGAGATGAACCCGAACCTGCCCGGTCTCGTTCCTGCGGCGCGAGAGACCGAGTCCCGACCCCACAGCCTGGGGAGGAGAGACCACCCTGTCGCGGCGTCCGCTCACCTGCGCGGTGCGGTCGGGGTCCGGCGCGGGCGGCGCCCTCGGTTCCTGACTGAGCAAGGCGAGCGCGGGCGCAGCCGGGTCCCACCTGCGGCGCCTTTTAACCGCGCCCCTCCCGCCTCTGCCTGACGCTGCCGCCGGGGGCCTCCGGGGCGGAGCGCGGGCCAGGCCCCCGAGAGTCGGGGTCGCAGCGAAGGACGCGCCGGGTCCGGTCCGGTGGGGGAGGCGTGCAGCGCTCGCTCGGGGACGCGGCTCCTTCCCGCCGGCCGGCGCCGCGCACCGCTCTCCCGCGCAGTCTGGGGCTCTCTGTCCGCTAATCGCCGCGCGCGGTGGAGGAGGCAGGCGGTGCTGTCAGCAGCCTCACCCCCGCAGCCTCCTCAGCGAAGTGAGCGCGCTCGGTGCGTATCCCCGACCAGGCTTGGAACGCTGCGCAGGGACGCGTCCTCACGGGCGCTGACCATCCTGCATCAGACCCGACAAGTGCAACGCGCTTTTCCCACAGAGTCGGTTTGTAATTAAATGCCGAGTCGGGTATGTTCCCTCAGGAAACAGGATTCATGAGGTCCCTGAAATGTCTCTTCAGGGATTACTAATCCTACCTTCTTAAATACTCAGAGCACAAGGTTCTCAGGGAACCAAACAGGGTTAGGACAGTTCGGTGGTGGGGTGGGGGTGGGGTGGTCCCGGGAAAGACTTTGAACCCGGAGGTGGGAAAACACAGATTCCACACACTCGAGCTGCCCAGAGCCGAAATGCCCACAGTCTTTTCCTCTTTGATTCCCAGTGTCCGATCTCGGTGCACCTTTGTTCTCTCTCTCTCTCTCTCTCTCTCTCTCTCTCTCTCTCTCTCTCTCCCCCGCCCCCCCAACCGGGGATTGAACTCAGTCCCTTGCGCTTGCCAGGCAAGCTCTTTTTCTACTGAGCCATCGCTCGGCCCCATCCTCTTCCTCGTGCTCTGCTCACTCCTAAAGGGCGGGCTCATCTGGTGTTACAGGAAAATAGTTTTCCTAAAAAAAAAAAAGAAAATAGTTTTCCTAAGCAGATTGTAAACTTCTTTGGGAATCATAGCCAGCTTAGGCTTTTTGTTCTTGCATTTCTACAGTAAGAAAGTAGGCGCATGTAGTAGGTGCTGCTTGTTCCGTCACTGCTGGTGCATTGTTTAGTAGAGCTGAACCAACGTAGCAGACAGTCTTGGAAATCGCGTTTGGTTTTCTACAACATGCTGTGATCTCACTGCGGCAGCGGTTCCTTACAAAAATAGCAAAATGGTATGTGAGACTTGACATTTTGGACCCATGGAAGCCTCTCCTGGGCCCACACAGGGCAGGATGTCGGAGCCGAGCAGTGGCAGCGAAGCATTACCAGCCAGAGGCCCACCTCTACATGGCAGCTTATTTCTTTTCTTTTTCAAATGATCCATAAAAGCCCAAGGTGTTGGCTTTTTATCTTCTCCTTTGTTTCTTAACATTTAATGTCACTGTTCAGTCTTGACTGCCCATCAAGTGTCTCCTTGTTGTGGCAAAAATTAAATGTGGACTTTATGAAATTACAGATTTGATGAGGTGCTCACTGGAAAACTGAAAATGAGTTCAACATTTTATTCTTATAATCCAAAGACATCTAAAGTGGTGAGCAGATTGTTCTGAGTTCATATGCCAGACATAAACAGCATTGAGGAATAGTTACAATCCTCCTGTACATTGAGCAGCATCACAATATTCTGAAAACAAGAGTTTACAGTCTTGGTTGTAATTGGTGATGAGAAAGTTCCAGATTAATATCTTTTCTCTGCATCTTCATGATGGTGTCCAAAGGCCATGCATTTACAGGAAACAGAAGTGTGGGTTCTGTACTTCGAGGACATGTGAGGGAATGGTGCTAGGGTGTGTGGAAGATCTCAAGTTCTCCAGAGGCCTCCCATGCCTTTGCATGGAAAGGAGATTCCCTACTGCTTGGCCTGTACACATACCCTCATGGGGGACTCACATCGATTGCCTAGGCCTTCAGTGTCCAACCTGTCATGGTCCTAGAGGCCTGGCTGAGAGAACACATGCTCCTTTGAAATAAAAGCTACATTTGTCTATCCATTCGGTGAAAAGCCTGTATTGTATTTAGTAGGGCATCCGTTATTTTGGGGTTCGTCTGATGTCTCCCTTGGAATTGGACCATGTGTTTAGAGAGGGAGAAGACAGAACAGCCACTTTGTCATCTACCAAAGGCACACACTGGAACCAACACAGCTTGTCCCTCATAATGAGGCAGGGGCTGACAGGTCTCTCCACTGGGAATTGCTGTAACCCCACTTTTCACATTCTGCTTTGGAACAAATTACTCCAGTCATCCCACACTTCAGGGAGGAAGAGAGAGGCTCTACTTCCCTGAAGTTGGAGTATCTATGACATCATTTGCTAGTCTTCTTTGCAAGGAGCATCTTTTCACCTGAGTTTTGAGTCAATGAGTTTTTACTCATGAACATTCATTTTATGCTTTGAGCATAATATAGTATTATCTTCATTATTTTATTGTTGAAATTATTTCCATTGACAAGCTGGCCACTGAATGCTCTATCATTTGGCTCATTTTGCTTTTGAGATTTTTCTGTCTTTGTCTCTCTCTCCCTTTCTGTCTGGCACTGTAAGATGCTTCAGGTTTGCCATGTTGCAAGACTGTTTCATCACAAACTGCAGAATGGCAGCGAGTGTCCATTGAGTATGTATGGGGCCCATGAAGAGGCCCTAAGGGGGCTGTGGGATGATGGGAGGCTAAAGGACATATACATGGCTTTCTGGGTGGCAGTGAGAAGGAGAGACACAGGAGGCACAGTCATCATTGGGAAGGGACGACACTGAGTCAGATTGGGTCTGCATTCTGAGCCAGCCAGCCAGTGTAGGGCTCCTCCCTAGCAGAGAGATGTTAACCAAGAAGGCCAACTAGGGCAGCATCAGTGTGGTGACCTGGCCCTGGGCTGTGGATGAAAAGTTCCTGTGAGAGGGGATAGAAAGTTGTTGGTGGGGATCCAGATCTGGAGATACTGCTCATCTATACTTTGCCTGAGTATCCCGCCCCTGTCTGTCCCCAAACATCTAAAGCATTCCAACTTTCTTTTTCAGCTTAAGACTGGCTTTCCTGATGCTCTCTACCACCTGCCTATCCTATCACTGGCCTCCCTTCCCTCATCACCATCAAATGTATGCTACTCTACCCTTGGAGTGTATTCCTCAGCCAATCACAGATATTGTTTGTCTTTATATTGTTGCCCTTCTCAGTGTACCATGGCCATCTTATGTTGGAAACAGTTACTTCTACACAGCTCACTCAATGGAGTGGGAGTGGAATTGAGTCAGTGCACAGCTGCTGGCTGGAGGTGAGGTCTCCATGTTGGATTTAAGCCAGGATGTGGATCAGTACTTGAGAGTCTTCACTAAATGAACCACAACCTCCTTTAGCACAGGCAGCATTCTGTCAGGCAGTCATAGCCACTGAGCTTCAAGCGCAGGGCCCAGTTGACTCAACTATGACCAAAATTGTGTTATCAAGGTCCATGGCTTGCATGCCAGTCCTATTTTCCATCCACACATCAGGTGGTGACACACTGTCACTCTGGAGTTCTCAGAAACTGATCTGGCTTGGGGCTGCCTGATTTTGGAATCATGAATGAAAGCCATGGCAGGAAGAGGCAAGGGTGGCATTGCAAACTGGGTCAGGACCATAATCTGACAGGTGGTGCATCAGTGAGTCAGAGCTTTCAAGAGAAATAGAACTGAGAGGGTGTGTGAGTGTTCATGTTCAAAGAGATTCATCTTAACGAACCAGCAAATCAGACATCTACAGGGCTGACTGGGGACCTGGTCAGGAGCAGGTGACTCAGGGCAGACTAGAGCAATCTGGAGCAGAGTTCCCTCATCCTCAGGGACTTAGTAGTCTTCCCTCTGGTAGACTTCAGCTGGTTGGAGGAGGTCTGCCCACGTCAGGGAGGACATGCTGCTTTCTGCAGAAGAAACAGTTAGTTAGGTCTGAGAGGCACTCTCTCAGGGCCATCTAGACTTCTGTGTGACCAAACACCCAGCTACCATGGCCTCATCAAGTCACACATAAAGTGAACCCCTGGGCAGCTTCACTCATCCAAGGCTTACTGATTCTTGTCACATGAAAAGCTTTAGGGTCACTGCAGCCCATGACTGTATGGAGACGAGACTTGTTAAGACTGATTTTGTGTATGGTACACAGACAAAAAGGAATTCCCACAATTGTTGATCCATTATAGGTGATTATACAAGTAATTTTAATTTTTTTGTTGCAATTAATGTGATACAGTTATTACATAAAAAGATTAATAAACTAGAGGAGGCTTGTACTATTTGAATGTTATTGTCTGTATCTTTTTTCTAATAATAATGAAGAGTATATTGGAGATATTTGCCTATTATTAACCCTTTTGGAAATAAAGATTACCTGCCAGTAGATGTCAAATGTATTAACTACAAATGCATCCTTTTAGAACAATGAAATTTTTATTTTTATTTTTATTTTTTTTCCATAATTTTATTGAGAAACAAATAGCAATGAGACAGTTTCAAATC